CTGTTTTGAGAGAAATCTTCTGCATCCGTGGATGTTTTAATGCCCTTGTCTAGCTTGGATTAACACATAGTCTACAGGCACACACCTGATCATCTACAATTGCTCTCTTACAACACTAAACTATGTTTTCTACCTTTATCTTGCATCTACCTACCACTTCAGCATTTTGTTAAAAATAAAAATAATAATAATAAAGAGAGAAATGTGGGATCCACATATAAATCAAGTATAAAAATCAAACGAATATTCATATTTGACCTGATTGTTTATAGTTCATAATGCGTGATCAAAACTGAAAGTTTCTGTGATGACTGCCCTTGTACTGTTCACCATCTAAGAACTTACTCGCTATGTAAGAATCTGTTCACCATGTAAGAACTTGTTCATTATGCTTCAGAAGATTGGAGACTGATGAAAATTAGGCTTGAGATGGATTAATGATTGTGCATTGAGCATTGACTCCCCTATACAGCATTTTATTGTTGTTAACAACCATTTGATCAATAAATATGAGAGATGCACTCTCAAAAAAAAATGGTTAAGATGGTAAATTTTTATGTTATGTACATTTTAAGACCCCAGTCCCAAGAGCACTTAAAAAGGGAGTAAGAGTGGGAAAATGGTGAAATCATTTGGCTGGAACTGCTTTTCTACTGTCATTACAAACCCCTTTCCAGGCAATAGTGTTGCATGAACATTATAAACAGTTCTACTTTTCTTTTCCCCCCCCCATCTTTTGGCCTTCAGACTCACAATTTGGTAAAGGAACTACTTGCTTACTGTTTGTTTCTATGGACTTGGTTTTCTTAGGAATGAGAAGCCTGACACGAAGAATTAAGCCTTTATCTCATCCTTACCTATTGTAAACATATATGATGTGTCCTCAGAAACAGAAGACTTTTTCCCAAGGGCCAATCTGAGGGTGAGGAAGGTGAGCTACTACAATACTGATTTGTCAAAAGTACACCTGCTGTTCATTCTGTCCTTTGTGAATAAATGTGGGCTTGTCAAGAATAGCAGAGGGAATCTCCCAAGACATAAAACTGTTTGGATTAAGATATCATAGTAGGTTGAATGGTGGTGCCCAAAAAGATATGTCTACATCCTGCAACCTGTGAATGTGACCTTATTTGAGATAAAGTCTTTGTTAATGTAATTAAGCTGTATCTCAGCCAGAGATCCTGAGATTACTCAGGTCAGTCCTAAATCCAATGACAGGTGTCTTCAGAAGAGACACACAGTAGAAGGCCACACAAAGACAAAGGTGGAGATCCGAGTTATTTAGCCATAAGCCGAGGAACACCCGGAGCCACCAGAAGCTGAAAGAGGCAAGGGAGAAGTTAGTCTAGGAAGCTTTAGAGGGAGTGCAGCCCTGCTGACACCTTGATTTTGGACTTCTAGCCTCCAGAACTGTTGGACAATAAATTTCTCTCATTTTAAGCCATCAATGCTGTAGACCTGTTACAGCAGCCCTAGGAAACAAATTCAAATCTTTTCCTTAAAAACAGTGGAATCTTAAACTGTGGAACTCTCCTCAGAGAACAGAAACAGCACTTATTTAATATCACTGTATCAGGCACTGGCTTGATGCTTAACTTAAATAATTCCTGTTTTAAAGATGAAAACCCTGAGTCCCGAAGTCTCATGGTGACCACGGGGGAGCTGGGTGGAATCCTGCCTAGACACAGCGTGGTGAGTAGTTAAGTGCTCTAGCTCTGCGTCTTGTGTGGCTTTGATGCTGGCTAAGTTACTCAACCATTCTGACTCAGTTTCCTCAGCTGAAAAATAGGAACGGTGATTTCTGGGAAGATTAAAAATATAAAGTATTTTCAGAATAATACCTAGAAAGGGCTAAATGAATGTTAACTGTTATAATTACTATACACTATACTAATAATATACTATTGCTAAGGCTATGAATACCATGCAAAGAATAAAAGAGAATGAGAGAAGAATAAACAAGTTTAAATCCATAAAAAAAGAGAGAGAGAATGAGGTTACTTTTAAGGCAGGTCATGTGAACTTTTATCAGTTATTAAATTAGAAGACACTTTTAGAGAGATTATTCTTCAGATTGTTTATTCAGTTTTGGTGTGGCTGTCATAAAGAAAATAAGAAATATATTACCTAATTTCAAACATGAGGAAACTGATGCTAATTAAATTTTTGTACCTTGCTTATTGTCAGAAGCCCAGAAGAAAACATTAGGATTCAGTCCTAAGAGTATCTCACCTCAAAGTGGTCTTTCTATTACACCATACTGCCTCCTACAACAGTGCTTTATAAATGCTGTGTCCAACAACTATTTTTGAAATAGTAAAATCAAGCCTCTTTATCAATAAACTAAAGTAATATTGGCATTTCCCAAACTATATTGAAATGAAAAATTATTGCTAACCATTTCAGGACCATAAATCTCTTAAAACACTGTAGCAGAAGGGAAGATTAAGAAACAATCATTCAGAAAATAAATCTTTCTTTGTGTTCATACCCACTACTTTTTTCCCCCCATTTATTATAGATTTAATAAAGATGAGCAGGCAGCTAGTAGGTAACCTAGATTTTTTTTTCATCTCATTTCATTTCTTTTTTAAAAATAAACAGAAAGAAAATCAGTGTCTTCATATGAAGAGTGACCATTCTCACTTCTATTAACGTTTTTGAAAGAAAATGTATTTATTGTATTTTTCTCTTAATTTGTCCCATCTAGTTAATCAAATATTTATTAAAGCATTTACTCCTCTCTTGTATCAAAGTCTTCCAGTATAAGATGCTGCTCCATTTAAATAAAATATGAAGGATGCTAAAACAGAAGTGGCCTTTAACTAGCAGACCCATAAATAAGACAGTAGCTGGTGCTATGCAATCCTGATATTGGCACTTATACTGGGGTTGGTAGGATGTTCTTAACCTGGAGACCAAGAACTTGGTGGTAGTGGGGAATCTATGAATTCCTTGATGTGTTTGTAAATTTTACATAAATATTTTTCTGCATGCATTTCAGAGGAGGCTGTAAAGTCCATAAGTTAAGAACCACTGTTTCAAGGCCTTATTACTAAAGTTAATTGCTACATTTTGCTCCTTTGTATCATCCTAAATGCCATTATAATATCAAGTCTGTAATAAATGTTTGTTACTTGTTTATGTAGGGACCAGAAGCTCCATCTTGTTAAAGATACATCTTGTAATCAAAAGGGTCATATTTCTGAAAGTGAGATTCCATGATATAATCAGAAGAATTTACCTGCCTAGGAGCGTCCAGGTCTGAGTTCTCGTTCTTGCTTCTTCACGGAATGATCCTGTGTGGGTTAATTCTCCAGTCCGGGTTGCTGTTTCTTCATCTGTAAAATAAAGATTTGAGTTAAATAAACCCAAAGATGCCTTCAAACTTAAAATAATTCTGTTCTATGTAAAAGATTTTTAAACCTCTTAGGTGGATGATCACTGATGAAATTCTAGAATATATTTTAAAAACAAGGTATGATGAGCTAACTTTATTTTAAAAATTATTTTTAGAGAAGGGCACAGTTTGAGGACATGCCATTGGCTCATGACTTCCCAATGTACACTGAGGACAATAAGGTGTTACATTACCATCTACAACAGAATTGAAGGGAGGCCCCAGGTGGGACAAAGAGACAGGTTAAGTAAGACCTGTCCACCTCACTTTTATCAAAGCAGCCTGCTTTTAATCCACTTTATATACTGGGTTTTTGGATGAGATTTGTTTGTAGAAAATGTTTCTTGATTTTGATTAGTCTCTGTTGATATCCATGGGTTGGGGAGCAAAAAAGGAAACAGATTGGCTTAATCACTGTATTTAAAAATGTGTCTGAAAAACACATAGCACTGGAAACAGAGTCAAAAGCCTTAAGGCTTATTTCCTATTTTCTTATTTATTAGCTGTGTCACATTAGACAAGTCAGTCTTTCTGAATCTTTGTCTTCACATACAGAATTATAATAGTATCTTGTTCACAGGGTAGTTGTAAGAATCAAATGAAATAATGTTTGGGAAAGTGTTTTGTAATTGGTGAACCATCATAAAGATGGTGAATGGGTCTTTAGTAAGCCCCAGGGCTCTGCATTTTGTCCTAAACATTGTAGCATTTTTGTCCATCTGATTTAAGTCGTAGAAAGTATGGGTGATCAAATTTGTAGATAAACCCAAGTTATAGGTTGGAGTTATAAAAGGCTTAACACATTTACAGAGTTCTAAGAATGACTGAGGGTAAAATTTTGGGATAAATAAGAAGCCTTATTTTTTAATTCAAAAAACTAATTGTCCAAGTGTTAAATGGGGGAAATGTTGCCTATAATCAGTTCAAGTAAAAAAGACTAAAGAATTTAACTTGACTTCGAGTTCATCATGAGCCAACAGTGTTGTGAAGTGGTTGGCAAATAAATAAATAAATAAATAATCCAATTGTTTTAGTCCATTCAGGCTGTTATAACAAAATACCACAGACTGGGTGCCTTTTGAACAACAGGGATTTATTTTTCACACTTTCGCAGACTGAGAAGTCCAAGATCAAGGTGCCAGCATGTCTGTGTTGTGGGGAAAGGCCCTCTCTTGTTTACAGCTGGCACCTTCTCACTGTGTCCTGACATGGTGGAAAGGCAAGGGATCTCTCTGGAGCCTCTTTTATAAGAACACTAATCCATCCTCATGAATTTAAGCACCTCCCAAAGGCCCCACCTCCTAATACTGTCACCTCTGGAGATTTGGATTCAACAAGTGAATTTTGGGGGGACACATTTAGACCGTAGCACCAGTATCCTTATATATTTATAGAAATGCTATGCGACAGGTGAGAAAAGGGGGCTACAGCTCTTGGCTTTGATTAGCCTCTGTGTTCCAGCTGTTAAAAATGGCCACTCCAGCTGGATGGAGAAAGTCCGCAAGGTTTCCAGTGGGGGAGGAATGTGTCACAGAGGCATTAAAAGATGTACAAGTTTTAATGGGTATTACAGGCTGTCACAGAGGGAAAGATTTGGAATTGTTTTATTGTCCTCAGAGGTGAGTCTCAGGAAAAATCTGAAATAATAAGATCTATCTAAGGGTGAAGGGGTTGCTGGTCGAAGTAGTGAAAATATTCCTGTAGGGAAACTGTTCAAGCAGACTAGATACCTTCTTCTTAGAGTTGCTACCCATCAGGAGGAAGGTTTTAAGAAAAGATTTGTAAAATTTCATCCAATTTAAGATCCTATTCTACAATCTGTCTATCCCACTGGAGAATGATTTGCCTCATTAAATTTGTTTTATATTGTTAATGTACAATTACTTGAACAGCATTATGGTCACTATACTCCCCCTAATATCAAGTCCCCCCCACATACCCCATTGCAGTCACTGTCCATCAGCGTAGTAAGATGCTGTAGAATCATTACTTGTCTTCTCTGTGCATATTGCCTTTCCCGTGTCCACACCCTGCTACACTATGTGTACTAATCATAATGCCCCTTTTCCCCTTCTCCCTTCCTTCCCACCCATCCTCCCCAGTCCCTTTCCCTTTGATAACTGTTAGTCCATTCTTGGGTTCTGTGAGTCTGCTGCTGTTTTGTTCCTTCAATTTTTTTCTTTGTTCTTATACTTCACAGATGAGTGAAATCATTTGATACTTGTCTTTCTCCGCCTGGCTTATTTCACTGAGCATAATACCATCTTGCTCCATCCATGTTGTTGCAAATGGTAGGATTTGTTTTCTTCTTATGGCTGAATAATATTCCATCATGTATATGTACCACATCTTCCTTATCCATTCATCTACTGATGGACACTTAGGTTGCTTCCATTTCTTGGCTATTGTAAATAGTGCTGTGATAAACAGGGGTGCTTATGTCTTTTTCAAACTGGGCTGCTCCATTCTTAGGGTAAATTCCTAAGAGTGGAATTCCTGGGTCAAATGGTATTTCTATTTTGAGTTTTTTTGAGGAACCTCCATACTGCTTTCCACAAAGGTTGAACTAGTTTACATTCCCACCAGCAGTGTAGGAGGGTTCCCCTTTCTCCACATCCTTGCCCAGATATAAACTCATTAAATTTTTTATTAATTTTTAATAAAACAGTGTGGGTTTTGAAATTGGCAAACTGGAATTTGCTGTTGTGTGATATCCAGGATGTTGTTTAACCTCTGTGAACATCAGTCATGTCATCAGTAACACAGAGATAATTATTTCTGTGGTCTTGTGAAGATTATATCAAACAACATTGGTAAAGGGTGCTTAATGGTGCCTGGTCTTGGTATGGCTCAAAGACGGTGATTTTTAGCACCATTATTATTTGTTCCTCTTATTTTCTACATGCGTTTTATTTCCTCTCTTTCTAAGAGATTCCTTTCTGGTGACTGATGAACCCTTCAGAGATGTATGATAAAAGTGGGTAAGGTGGTGACTCCTGAGTCTAGGACATTATCTTGTCCATCAAAACCAGAACGAGGACCTGATTGACTTTTTTCTTTGTTTAAAGTTTTGAACAATAAAACATTCTATTAAATATTTAAGGACCAAGCTTTCCCTTGTAGAGCAGATAAAGTATCTGCCTCCTCAAATAAAAAGGCTTGGTTACTGAAGCATTGGGGCCAGTTACAGATTCTTTCTCTTTTTTTTCTATCAATAAAGTGACTCTAAGCTAATTTTACTTAAAAACTACCCTTCAGTGGACAAGTTAATAAAGGAGAAGCAGTTTCCTATTCTTAGAAGAAAATAAAAAACATGAAATTCCCTCATGGCTAGGGAAGAGGCCAAGAGTATTCTCTCTGATGAAAGTAGAGGGAGGCATTCAATTACTGGGTCTCCACAGGTTGGTTGCAGGTTGGCATTTTGTCTCATTGAGAAGGTAATAGAAAACTGCGTATGAGGAGGCACTATGACAATTCTGACTAAAGATCTTACAGAAAAAGAGGATTTTTAGATTGTCAAAAGAAACAAAAAGATGTAAGGATCAGGTTTTTGTAAGACTTAATTTCAGTATTTCTTTCTTCTGTATCAGTGAAGATTGACTGATGCTTTCTGGGCAAGTACATCCCAGAACAGAGAGGAACTGGAGATTTGGCAATCTGTGGAAGAAAGTTGGTGTGAGAGCAGTTAGAGGTATTAAAAGTTGCTTTGGACATGTCAGTGTGAGCATTTTTCCTTCTTTTCTTCTTTAGTCCTTTTAATTTTCTTGTTCAATATCCTACTTTAATTCCTTCCCAAATTCTCTTTTTATTCTGTTTGAGATCTTGAACTCAAAATGATAACTTTAGCTTGGATTCCCTAATTAAAATCGTTTGATTTTATAATGGAGCTGAAAGAGCAGAGATACAATATTTGAATAGTAAACTGTCACTCAGGAAACTGCCAGATATTTATTGAGCAACTTAAGTCCCAGAACTTTGCTAATCACTTTAATGTATTACCTAATGCAGTTCACTTAACACTATAATGGAGGCATTATTTCTATACCCACTTAATACATGAGGAAACTGAGGATTGAGAAATTTAAAAACTGATCCAAAGTTTCACAGCTAATGTAGAGCAGACACTCTTAACCATTCTGCCAGACTGCCTGTCTGCAAAGATCTCTGATCATGACATCATAACCCAGCAAACCATTCCATCCATCCATCCATTCAATCAAATATTGAGCAAGCATGTACTTGGGATATAAACTATGAATAAGATTGACATGATCATTCTCCTCTGGATGCTTTCTAGACAGGAGGAGGGACAGTTACACAGGCATCCCCACACAGTGTGCTAAGTGCTATGACCGGCAGGTGTAGGGTATTCTGGGGCACAGAAGGAGGCTCCAGCCCAGTGTGGGAGGGGGTGTCAGGACAGGCAGGTCAAAAAGTTCTTGTCCTCATCACTGTGTGCTTCAACTGTTTTGCAGCCAAAGGCATATGATGTAACCTCTAAAAAGAAAGGTTTTTGAAGCAAAGTCCTCCTCTGTGTTCCCTCAGTGCCTGGTACATAGTGACTGCTCAATAAAACCTGTTGAATGAATGAATGAGAATTCTAATTCTACATAGTAGCTCTATTATAACAGAGAGTCTTTTGACGTATTTCTAACTTGATTCTGAAAATTCCTAAATGTTTCTCCTCTAAGCCTGAAATAAATGTCCCCTTTTGACTTAAAAAAATCAGGTCCCTGCTCCCTTTTAAATCATTTAAAAGTGCTGTACCCATTATAAAAAAGGGAAAGCTGCCATACCCATTACATTTTATTAGAATTATGCATCCTCAGGTATCTTTTAAACCAGGTGCCTTGAGTAGAGATTCCGGGAGTCTGGGAAAGTGGAGACGCTCTGTTTGCTTTTTCCCCCTTTTTTCTAGTTGACCTGTGGGGATTCCAGGCTGT